TTTTAGCGAGTGGATCTCGACGCTCCGGCGAAAAAACGACCTAACTTTTTATGAGGGATTCATTAATGTTAATTTGCTTCCTTATTACCCTCAGATTTTCCCAGGTTCTATAGGAAGTTGTCGAAGCCAGCGCCAACGCCAACGCCAGCGCCAGCGCCAACGCCATTTCCAATATCGCTCTCAGAAGTTTCCCGCCTATTTACCTCCCACTTAGCCTTAACGGGAGCCATTCGCCCCCCTCCCGCCCCCCTTACTTGCAAGTTCGCGTTCTTTGGATCCTATAAAAGTTGAAAACGGCCTCCGAAGCTCTGCGGGACGTTAAACGGTCTGACGTAGCTGAGCGAATAAATCAAATCGCCCGCCGATCCTACCTGTAGCATCTGCAGGATTTGCAGGATCTACAGTATCCATACGGTATATGTATACCTGTGACTATTTTAAAGATCTCCTCGGACACAGAAAACATTAAGCTGTGGGCCAAGTGGATATTCCAAGGTGATCGACTTGTGAACATGGGCCACTTCGGTAACACGAGGCAGTCGAGACTCTCGAATTTAACATCCTGTTCAGCGAGCCACGACCCACGACCCACGACCTTCGACCCTTCTGCCCTTCTGCCCTTCTGCCCTTCTGCCCCCTTCTGCCCACCCTAATCTCAGCTCCACCTCAGAGACAACATTTTCAGGTAATCTAATTACGCGAGCTCATTTCCCACCGCAATATTTGCCATTCCCCTGTTCGTTCTTTCGAAAACTCCTTTGAAAGTCCCGACGCCATTAACGAGTCGCTAGGGAGCGTCGCGACGCGTCCGTTTCGCATTAGGCGTCTGTTAAGTCAAGGAAAAATATTCAAAGGCAAATATTTGACTTGCTCGTTGCTAAGTCAAGTGGCTTCCTACTATCGCAGCTTTGTCTCCTTTTGTTAATTACTCACTCATTAGCCGATGGTTAGGGCCCCCCACTGCCCCCACTCTCCCTCCCACCTTACTCTCGCCACTATACACTTTCGATCTTTGACACTCTCCGCTCTACGCGAGCCCAGCTAATTGCTGGGAACCAGAGAAGCTGGAAACCTCTTGCGAATAGTGTCCAGGGTTCTTCTTCCCTTGCAGGGAGCTTCTCCCCGAGTACGAGTAGCAACACTTTGGCCGCAAAGCATTTTACTAGTCGCCAGACTACAGGTAGTTTCAAGGTGCGATGCCGAGCGCGAGGCTGGATTTTCAAGAGCGAGATTGGCTTTTGAAAATAGCAACTGTTACAGTCGAAAAGTGAGAGCAAGGAAGCTCGTAAAGTGGATGCTGTAAAACAACCCAGCATTCTTTGCGGAATTCTTTCTTTCTCGTGAAACTGGACCGAGAAAAGAAAGACTGGAGCGCGAATGCCTCCGCAGCTGCTCCTCCTCCTGCGGCACTGCGGATCCCACGTACTGGGTAGTTGGGTCTAACCCAGAGCTACCGGAAGGACGGAGCAGGAAGCTCCTGGCTGGAACGACTCGCTGCTCTCCTTGAAATTTATAAAATATTCCCAGAGTGGCTTTGGCTTCGCTTCTCGACTAAGGGCTGCTGACGCAATGTCTTTCTCGACTTGTACGGGAGTCGAGGATAAAGTCACGCGAGAACTTTCTCCCATTCGACATTATAGTTTGGAAGGGGGAATGTTTCTACAGCTTCAGTTTCCGATATCTTTGGAAATGGAATCGAGGATGGAGCAATAAAGGTCTTACGGAAATGTGTGTGTGAGAAACGAGAGGAGTCGGAGGATCGCATGAGAGTCAAAGGGATAGGTGGGTTCGGTGGACCCGGGATTCGGCCTTTTCGGCGGAAGGTTTGCTCAATGAAAATCTTAACGAATTTTCCCTCGCTCAGTCTCCTCCATTTTTTGCAAATTGCTGATTGCCGAATTTCATGAGAGCTCTTTGCGACAGCACAGGGATTCGCGCATCCGGGCACGGTGTGACCCTCGAGGGCCTGAATAATTCGACTGAAATTTCGAGCTGGGTGATTAAAAGTCTCTGGTTAAGGGAGGCGGAATGATCCGAGAGAAAAAGAAAAATCCGACTGGCGGCGACGCTAACTGCTCGTTCCGACTAACGAAGCCTTTCGAAGCTTTTCCCTAGCCCGGCAGCGATCTCTTGTTCGATTATTCCGACGAACTGGAGCAAATGGCGTCGATGCGCGGGCCGCGTGGGCCGCCTCGACAATTAATGAGGAAAACCGAGAGGATAGAACGAGCAGCTTCTCCGGTACGGAGGAAAAGTCACTCGAGAGTGAAATCATCCTGTCGATCGATCTTCGAGTCTCAATCACCGGGGCGATACACGAGAACACACGTTGTGCCAGTCCAGTGAATAATACTCGGGAATAATAGTCGGGAGAATCGCTCCGGTAAGGATCAACCTCTATCCCTGTGCGGCTACGCTCGGCGCCATAGAGATTCTTCTTTTCTTTTATCCTTTCTCCCAGGGACCTCCACATAACACAAAGCCTTCAGCGAGGAAATCTTGCGTTTCACGTTACCTAAGCCCGAATAAAAAATTTAATATAGGACGAGAGCCGGCCGTGAGTGGTCCAACACGCAAAGTTGCTCCAGGGTATGGGCAGTTGTATTGACAGTGACGGACGGTGTATGCGGGGAGAGAGGGGGAGAGAGAGAGAGAGAGAGAGTGATAGCCACACATGCTGGCAGTTGATCCACCATAATCCCGGCATTCGCGATTCATGAAATCAGTGGAGGTTCAAAGTACGACGAGAACGGCAGATAGGATGTGGTGAGATATGGTGGAAAAGGGTGGAAAAGGGTGGAAAAGGGTGGAAAAGGGTGGAATAGGGGTTGGTCATTAATCACATGACAGACAGACACAGTATACGCGTACGCATATGCATTGGTGAAGGGAGATTTCGTAGACGTGGGCAAAAAACAGGTTTCATTATTTTCCGAATTGAAAAAGGGAAAATGGACAGGGCCATTCATTTCTCGGCCTTTGCGTGATGCTCGTAAATGCCTCGAAATTGTTTTCATTTATATTAGGGGAGACGAAGACGCGGCGCTTAACGATGACAGATCGAAGACTAGATATAACGATGTTAAACGAGTGAAGGTTGGAAAGATGAAAGGTGATTCCGCGTGACGTCGAAGCGTTGGCTGCACGCGACACACAGGACGGAGATCAAAGGATTGATGGAGCAGGGACTACCACGTCACGATGTATTAACGGAAGACAAGTTGTCAGTAGGAAATTCTAATGGAGCAGAGAGTGCGCCACGTGCCTTGAAATTAATTCAAATAACAGGAAACCCTCGTACCGACGTGGGCGCCGTGTTCGCCGTGCTACGGTTATCTCAGAGAACTCGCTTGAAGAAATTTCATATGCGTCGGTAACGAACGATTTGCCTCGCCACGTGTTTAATCAGCTGTTTTTATTGGGCGCCTCGTTTGTCGTGCTGGGACGCCGTGGGACGCCGTGGGACGCCGTAGGACGCCAATACGCCGCAGAGGCCTGCGCGCTACGCGTCGATAAAGCAACCTTCCGCATCGACGACAGACTAAGTGGACTGACGGGAATGACTCTGCGACTGGGCGTGCGTGTCGGTAAAACAGTTTCCCGCTGCTGACAGCTCAATTGTCTCTCAAAGGACTTTTACTTCTTTCGTTATAAATGCAAACGTTGCCAGAATCAAATACCAATTAACCCAGTTGCGCTTAATCGTCTTTTCCAATGTGTAATTACATTTTTCCACCTGAACGTTTACATCTCAGTCGCTGGAAGACGCTCCAAGAAAATAATCAGGCAAAGAGGGAGAGGGCTGAAGATGGCTGAATCGAATTAAGGAAAAAGTCTAAGTACCCCAAGAAGAACGAATTAAATCCTAATTCTCATAATCATAACCTTCTTTGACCAGGAGAGAAAGGAAGTGCTGAACATAGATATTATTCATTTGGAATGTGTCCTGCAGTAAAACGGTACAGCGGCGTGATTGAGATGTCCCATAGTTTATTAGGCTACAAGACGCCAAGAAGTCGCGAGACACGAAGAGTCCTCTCATCTGTTGCCCCCTCCCTTTGCCGCGCCTACTCTTCTCACCCCAAACTTTATTTGGGATTTTCCTTTTGACTGAAGCTTTTACAGGCAGCCCTTGGACGCCGTGCGACGCCGTGCGACGCCGCGCGTCGCCGTTCGTCGCCCTCGATATGTCTTAGACGGTCTGAGCATTCTCTTCCCCTCTGTCCCACTTCCTCAGTGCGTCTCTCTCGCGACGCTTTCTGCATACAAACAAACCTTGCCTTTGACTGAATATTCCAGGGCCGTAGCGACTAAGAACGCAAGTCAAATATTCTGGTGCCCGAGGCACTCCCACACCCGGGACAAGAGCGCCATAGGAAGACCCCTTCAACATCCGTCTAGAAGAAAATACTCTGGGTAACAGGACGCGACGCTACTGAACTCTAATCTCGACTTCCTTTGACACAGATATATTAAGGTGCAGGAGTTACGCAGGGTCGGAGCATTAACTACGAGTCAGGCCACGATCCCATGAGTTTACTAATCCTGTCGCGTTATCGAGCGTGAAATCAAGAGTAATATGACAAAACTGCCGAATATTCAAAAGTTCTCCTATTCTCTCTTGGACTGTTGGACTCTGGCTGCGTCGCTCAGGGCACTTCGAGTCTTATGGCCATATAAGGTCCCAGAATCGAGCCAGAAGCGCCTGCCAGCAGGCAACCCGGCCGCCACTCGAATGCGCCGACTCTCCGCTCTCGTTTCACCTCGTACTGTCGTTATTGCAATATCGCGTGATTCCTGCCAGTCAGTCAGCCAGCCAGTCGCCGTTGGCAAGAATTACGCCGGCCAGCCTGCCAACATTTCTTTCTTGGCCCATTCCCAGCAATGTCAATGGCATTTCCGAGCCCACCCGGTCGATTCGCGTGTCGATGGAAACGCGCACAATGGACGCACGGTTGCACTGTTTATCATGCACGCGTCAACGAGTAAGCGAAACTTACCTCCAGGTGAGATTCCGATGAGGCCACTTTTGCCCGTGGACGGTGAAGCGTCGATGTCGCGTCCTCGAGAACCTCGGATCGAGTTTATCCGGAAGTCCGCAACGTTTCGCCTTCATGAGCTTCTTCGTAGCTTCGTCGATGTGTCCCGTGACTGGGATGCCACTGTAGCTCTGCCACAGACAAATGTCTCGCATTAGTCCTCTACAGCTAATCAAGTTTCTTTTAGTTTTTTTTTTTTTCAAGAAATTCGAATTCTTTCTTTCTGTCCTTATCTCGTTTCCTTTTTTTTCAGTTGCCTAACTAGGTCTAGATTAAGACGGTGGAAAGATAGATATACATGTATATGTATGTATATATATATAGAGAGAGAGAGACGTGGATGGTCGTTGAGAACGAAAGAGATAACTTAAAAAAAAAGGAAAGTCTTGAGAGCGCGAGGAACGAGAAATTAAATGGAAATGACGTTTCCGTAGCAAATGAATTAAGTGGAGTCATGGTTCACTTTGAATTTGTAAGAAGGAGGGAGGGGTCGAAGGTCCAACCGACGCTCCTCCGGGAATCTTTTCACGGCGCCGCGACTGGAGAAACCATCAGCCGGCGCGAATTCCCGCAGAGTGCCCTCAGGTTATTCTCGATTCGTACGAATGGACTCCAATTCTTCCTGAGAATGACAAATCGGACATCCTCGTTTCGTCAGACTTCCCGCTGTCCCCGCTGTCCCCGCCAGTCCCATAATCCCAAGCTACTCCTCGTCTATTCTCCCTCGCCCCTTATTCTTCTTCTTCTTCAGCCCCAGTCCTTCCTTCTTCGCTTCGAAAAGATAAGCTCGGGGGTCCACGTGAGTTATCATAGAAATTCACATAATAACATGGCTACCTATTGAAAAGGCTGCATTAATGTCCTTCGGCGACAAGAATGGGAAGCACTCGCCTCCTAATTCTTATTGGAGCCACGACTTCGGGGGGCCGAAATCGAAATTCGAATCGATTTTCATGTAAATTCATTCGGCTGGACTGCAACGTGCAAGATCGATTTTCAATTGCAAATTTCTCGGCTTCTTTTCAAAGCGAACACCGAAGTCGACTGAATAAATAACTGCCCGAAGGTGGAGCTCGCTCCGTCTTGAAAACCGGATGACTGTCCTAACCTCATCCGCCTCATCTGTATACGTCGTCATCGCTTTCTACCCCCACTACCTCTAGGTATCGGAAAATTGTCTATTCACCTGTAAGTTCTTGATGGCATTAATGAGCTGATCGTCAGTCCTCAAGTTTCCGGTCTCCCGGTCGCTCTCTGGCAAGTAGCCAAACTGCATCAGATAGTCTTGCTGCAACAGAAAAGCAAAAATTCTCATTTTCAACTACGCTCACTTTTTCAATCTCTTGGGAATCGCATTTCGCCAACGAGGCTACTAGAGTATTGTGATTGTTACGTAAGGATGGCTCCGTTCCAATTAGTCGTGGAAAAGGAAGCGAAAACGAGGCTCACGAAGTTCCTTCGGCTAAGTGGAGACTTTACTGACAAAATTAGATCTCACTCCCAGAGTGAACGAACTTGGCGACCCGCCCTCCGTCTGGTCGACTCGTCGTTCCCTGTGGACGCTCCCTTCGGTTCCCAGGAACGAGGCGCAGCGTCCGCAGATCCTAGATTCCTGGATCCCTGCTCCCTGCTTCCTGTAGTCGCGTCTCGTCACAACGGAGTGCGTCTCAAGCGAAGAGTGGAAATTCTAAAGGAATCGTCGCAAGTTTAGAACAGCCCAAAGGATCCACTTTGAAAAATAATAAATGCATCAAGATTAAGGCAGCTCCAGCTAGCGTGCCGAAGCCTCCGAAGCCTCCGAAGCCTCCGAAGCCCACCGACCCTTCCCCCTTTTTCCCTGTTCTCTCAACTCTTTCCAGGAAGCAGTCGAGTGCGTAGAGTGCGTAGAGTGCGTGACCCTCCACTCCGGCATTACTCGTGTCCGTGACTGTCGCACCTTAGGCCACGCTTACAAAGCGTTTATCTGCAATCTTTGAATTCGACGGAGCGACCGCGCCCACGTCGCCCAAAAGGTCGACGAGAACGACGACAGGAAGTTTCGCGAGGAAATTCAGCTCGGGTGCCAACGAGCAGGGCGCACTCGGTCGCCTGTTGGCCCCCGGGAGCGTCGGGACCAGCTGTCTCCGAGGGAAGCTCCCAGAAAGTGCCAGACGAAGCGTCTCGTTACTTTCGTCCCGTAACGAAGAATGATGCCGGGCGGGACGCAACGCATTCGCACTTCCTTCTCTCTCTCTCTCTCTCTCTCTCTCTCTCTCTCTCTCTCTCTCTCTCTCTCTCTCTCTTTCTCGTCAAGTCCTCTTAATCGCGCCGCTCTTCAACTCCACGCAGGCCAATTAACGCGGAACAAGGAGGAGCACCGGCGAGTCTTGCGACGCAACTGGACCAAATGGCTCAACGATCGGCTGCTGCAAGACAACAAAATTCTAAAGTCTCTCGTAAAAATCTCGCAGTTCCCGAGGCCTTCTTGCTCTTTGACAGGATTTTCTAGGAAATCAAGTTTTTAATGTAATTTTGCTGAAACACAGATTGACTTAAAATTCTCAAAGAAAATTATTTAATAACGAAATAAAAAATTGGCGAACCAACGAGCGGATTTTCAGTCAGGGTCGAATTCGCTTAACGACCAGTAGGGGGAAGAGAAACTGAGGAGAGAAATACAGCGGAGGTAATGGTCAAAGTTCGTTAGGTAATTTCTCCGACGCTCCGCGTCTCGATGCCGTGGCTCGAGTAACCGACATTAATAAACGGAGCAAACTTTAAATATCTACTGGAGAAGCTTCTCGCCTGGAAAATTAATAACCCGTTTTCCTGAGCTGTTGGCGTGTAGATGCTATTGATCCAAGCAAGAATCGAAACATCGAGTCTTCGGAAATATTCAAGATCAGAAATTGCGAACGGCTTGTTGGGGCACGACTAGGTTAGACTAGATTAGACTAGAATAGACTGCTCGGGGATTCGATAATTAAATCTTCCCTCTCTGTCCCAGCGTTCGAATTTCTCTCACTCGTCAGACTTTTCGATTTATTTTGGAAAATTCCGAATTATTGCGAAAGAGCTCCGAAAGAAGTGCGAACGCCGAGTGGAGGAGAGAAACGTAAGAAAAAAGAGAAAACACGATTATGAGCCGCGCCGTGATCGGATAAAAAAAAGGGGAAATTTGCGCAGCCCGTGGAGGATTATGAGAAATGTCTTTCCTCTCTGGTTCCATTAGGTTCGAGTACTAAAGTGGGATTATTACGCTAGGCGAGCATTTCGTCGTCTCTGGAG